AGTATTTTACTTTATTTTTCTCTTTTAAATTCTATAATTTGATTTTATATACAAGCAAAGACAACAAAGTTTGATTACAACTCTAATGGAGTTTGTAAGAAATTATAACCACTCGAAGTGGTAAAATTTCTATATCTTGCCATGATCAAAGTCATATATGATGGTGAGCACAAGAAGTGAAAACCCGTCCCATTGAATTTGCTCCATTCTCATTCCCTTAAGAGAATGTAATAGCAATATGTGATAAGTCTGAAAGAAGACAAAATTATTACTATGAATGTATCAATGGATATGGACGTGGCAATAGACGAAATTATAATCGTCATCATTTGTGGTAATGAGAGCAATAAGGATTCTCAAAATAATCTTTCACTCTGTGAAAAATATTTGTCATCGATTTGACATGAGATTTTGTAAAGCACATATAGATGATTATGGTCCATTCATGATGTGAATGTGACAACATCTGATTTATGAATACATATTCATTCTTTAAAGAATATGAACGTGCTAGTGGTAGTGAATATACCGCACTCACCTCTAAAAGGAGATTTGAGATGATATAAGAAAATAATGTCATTATTATGGCATAAATGGTCATTGGTCACGTACTTATTGTACGCCAAAATATTTTGGCAATGTGATCATTTAAAGATAACGGTAATGCAAGAAACAAATCTTGCATATAATTTTGACCATAACCATAATGGTATAACTTTCTCTTTAAAAGAGATATTCACCATATGGATGTTGGTGAATATGTGGTAGTACCAAATTAATTGAGATCTCTAGAAGAGCCAATTATACTATTTTGGAGAAAATTGATTATCAATAAGACGTTGTGTTGTAGTAAGTCTCAAAGAAACTTATTCAGTTTTCAAAGTATACGCGAAAGCGGTTGATTATATTGAGACTATAAATAAAGGAAAGATTTAATATCTTCTATTACTACAACTTGTAGCGGGGTAATATGTATGTGAAAAGCTACCCGCTTTATTCTTCAATTTGTACTACATAAACAAAAGAATACCATAATGAAGTGGATATTTATTGATATAAAAACCCATATCATAATAAACTTGGAGTTTATTCATAATTGCACACATCAAGGTGTAAACCTGAAGTTTATCAATATTGATAATTTTTTCAGTTGACATAATTGGTTTAGCCATGTTAATTCAAGTATGATGTGCAAAAATAAAAGAGAATTCACATGGGTAAATATTAAAGAACTAGAAAGTTCTTTACGAATTCTCTTATGTTGCCTGTTCTCATTAATTAATTTACCAACTAAAATTGGGATTGAATCCCATGAATGCTGGAAATATCAAAGGTGAATATTGGCTCATTCACCTGCCATGTATACCACATAAGATGCATCTATGAGATGGTTACATGTGCGATTGTTATTAACCCGCAACATGGTGTTTGCGAGGTAACTTGCTCAATAATTTAATTTCGAGCATAATTTCCATATTTTTTATTCAAGATAGTTTATCTTGATAAGTTGGTTTACATCACAACTGGTTTAGCAAAATGATTTATTGAGTGCCTCCACTTAATAGCTAAACAATTGCTTATGAGAACAAAGTTATCTATATCAGTATGATATACGTTATATACGAAAGTATATTATTTTCTCCCCTCACAAGTGGTTCAGGGTCAGGAACCAAATAATTCCATCTTATTATTATTGATGTGCAGTGTATATTTTGATTAACACCATAACGCACAAAGATGGGTTCTCAAAGTTGATGAAACAAGTTAGTTTTTCTAACATGAGGGGGAGACAAGATACAACTGTTGAGAAAAGTTACGTGGAATGAATTATCATTTGTACATCTAGATCCTCGAATAAAATAATATTAACTTGAAGTTTATAAAAGGATAATTCATGTGCAATTTATTGCAAAGCATGCCATACGCATTTGCTGACCCAAAGAAAGTAACTATATTCTCACTGCAAATGCTCCTATTAGAACAAGTCATAGAAGGACAGAGTCTATGGTACGTTTAAAGCGTATAGACAAATCGGTTTCAAATAAAATCCTTGATAAAGAAGATGAGCAAATGATCGAAATGATCATAATAAAGGAGGCAAGTGATCTAGAAGATCACATGACATAACACTTCATAAAATCTCAAGAGAGATTCAGGTACCTGAATATATGAATGAAGAGATCTCTATGTTATGTCTTTATGAAAAATAAGGAGGTTGGAACCGATATAAAATGTTTGTCCACGACATCTATGATAGCGCTAAATATATGAGGATCTCAAGTCTGGAGAAACAATTCAAGTAGAATTTGGTTTCCTATGAAAGACATGTAGTTTTGAACATGCAGTTCAAACACTTGAAAGTATAAAGTCAATGGTATGTGCAATCAGTTTTCGATATCTTATATGTCTAGCATGACATGAAAACTTGATATACATCTAAAGTCTATTATATGGCTTATATGACTTAACAATCCTTGAAGGATTTAAATTGCTTAAAGCATATAGAATTCATGGTCATGAAGTACTACATCCTCAGTGCAATTTGTGCACAAATGTATCTTGCTATAATTATATGCATGATAATATGATAGCAAGAGTTTTCACCTCTATGTGAAGATATTGAACCGACGATTCCAACAAAATAATATGAAGACAATCCATCTCTATCAAGAATGATGATTTCAAGGTGCAATATATTCATTCAAGTTAATATGGCTGATTTGTTTATCAAATATCTACCAAAGATCTTTTGAAGATGGTGCACAAGATTGGAATGCAAATGCTTAAGGATGTGAATTGATGCTCTCATCAGGTGGAGTTAATACGCGTTGTACTCTTTTTCCTTTACAAGGTTTTGTCCCACTGGGTTTTTCTTGCAAGATTTTTAACGAGGCAACCAAAAGGCGTATTGTTAGATATGTGTACCCTTTTTCCTTCTCTAGAATTTTTTTCCCACTGGGTTTTATTTTAGTTAAGGTTTTGACGAGGCACATTATCTGTTGAATAGACATTCAAGGGGGAGTGTTATAAATAGAATTTTATTTATGGTGAATGTCTATATTTGGAGAGATTCTAGGGTTTATTACTTGGTGGCTAAGTCACTCTCTCCCTATAAATAGAGAGTTCTATTCCATTGTAATTCATCCCAAATCAATAAGAATTCTCTCTCTCAACTTTTCTTTGCAATACTATTCTTCTTCTTTTATTATTTCATAACAAAATACCATTTTTCAAGACCTCAATACATTTTTTTTCCATGTAAAATGCATATCCCAAAAGAATTTCCATGTAAAATGCATATCCCAAAAGAATGCTGGCATGAGATATCGGTCCCCATGCAAGACCTCAATACTTATCTGCATTGAATAATTATACGAATGACTAAAGTAGAATTTCCTATTAATTTTTCATTTTATAATCCTCCAAATGACGTGACTTACTGAACCATAGTCCAATATTTCGTACCCTGACTGTAGTACACTATCGTATAATTATTTTAATTGCCGGACATGTCCATTAATGATGATTGGTTAGCTAAAAGCTCAATATCATATTCTATACTCTTTTTTCCCTTCATAACATTGATGCACAGAACAGCCTGCACGTCGTACTTTATGTTAGAAAACATATAGAGACTCAAAACCTAAGAAAGTTTCATGAAGCTAATTAGAAAGTGAGATGCCAGACTTTTATAGGAAAAAAAGAGATCAATATATCATACAATTGAAGTATATCCTATGTGCAATTCTCCCATATTTTTTTGTTCTTTATTTTGTGGTCCATGTTGTGGCAATTATTAATGCTTAACTCTAAGCAGAGAATGTGTGGGTCAATTGAATGATCAAGTTGCATACTATAGTTATCAATAGTCTTAATATTTCCATTGACCTGCTCTGCTGAGTTATGCAATAAGTTGGGCCTACGGCAATTTGTAGATATTTGAGCTTAAGAAGCTCTAGAAATAGTGTCTTTAGGCTCACATTGATAAACACTATTTTTTAAAACAAATAATCATAATGGATTAGATATATACATCTCTTCAAAAGTATGTATACACGACTTGAGCTAAATAATAGATCGATTATTCATCTTGCTTAGCTCGTTGATTAAAATTTGGAGGCTCATCTCTCTAAAAATGATATTCTACTTTCATCTTCTCCAGTCTTTTATAATTTGTCTAATTTTTTATTTGTTTAATATGATTATGTCAGGTAAATAAACTTCAAAAGTCTTATTTTTCTATGTTCTGATAAGTTTTATAATAAATCGATGTGAGTTATATATGTGTCGCAAATTGGCCCTGGCTTTTGTACGTGCTGACTTAAGCAATAAAATGGGAATCTTTTGCAATACCGACCCACCACAAACGATTTACCCGCCTCCTACCCATAAAGTTTTCCCCTCCCTATTTTTATTTTTTAATTATTGCCCAACCCTTCCAACCAAATAAAGTACTAAGTTACTAAAACCAAGCAAAGCCAAACCAATTCATGCCAAGCCAAGCCAAGCCAAACCAAATCAAGTCAAGCCAAGCAAAACCAAATCAAGCCAACCCAAACCAAATCAAGTCAATCCAAGCTAATTCAATCCAAACCAAGCCAAACTAATCCAAGCTAAATCAAGCTATGTTAAGCCAAATGGGTAAGAAAAGTGGGATGGGTAGGTAGGTTGGGTAATTAGTTTTAATTGGTAGGCATATATTGTAACTAGTTTTCAGATAGGTAGTGAAGGGTAATTAGTTTAAGCTCAATGAGTATTTCGCATAAATTGCTCCAATAAAATGACATGTCAATTAATAGATATTATTCAGTCCAACCCGTTCAAGTTTGAGAGGCTTAAGCAGGTTATTTTTGTGAGCTTAATTTGACACTAATATCTCATTGCTAACTTGGTCAAGGTAGAGCCGTCAAAATAGGCTTGACCCATAAGATCAACCCAACTAAGCATGCTACTTAAGTATGATTGGGCTAAGATTTTTCTAGCCCATTTAAAAGTGAGGCTTACAGGTCCGACCCAAGGTAGCCCATTAACCCTTTGAGGGTTTTCTGCTTACCACCACAAGTGCACTTGCAAGAGCAATGGTCAAAGGTATTTAGGGCATCTAACTCATCCCAGATCTTATTGACCGTTGTGAAATATCTTGCTATATCTGAAGTACCTTGGACAACATCACTGAGTTCCTTTTGGAGCTGGTACAGCTGAGCTCCATTACACTGCCCAAATCTGGCTTCTAACTCCTTCCATATTTCTCTGGCAGTTTGGGAGTAGAGAACAGATTCAGCAATGTCCTTAGAGAGTGAGTTGAGAATCAAGGAGATTACCATGTCATTACATCTGCTCCAAGACTCGTAGTGAGCGGAAACATCAGTTGGCTCAGTAGAAGACCCATCAATGAAACCAAGCTTGTTCTTGGCTGAAAGGGCAATGACAATAGCCTGCTCCATCTTGCATAACCTTTCCATCAAAAGGAGAGTTCACCGGAATCATTCCAGGTGAATCAGATGGGTTTAGGTATTAAGGATTGGAGGAGTCAAGCATGCTTGAAGAAGAGGTACCGGAAAGTGGAGTGGACTGATCGTCAGCAAAATGAGCCATTTGAAAAGAAAAATTGAAGATCTGAAAAAAAAAACGAGATTTTTTGAGCACCTAAAGCTCTGATACCATGTAGGACAACAGAGAATTTAGGAAGTTTTCTTTTCTATTAATTTCTGTGTATCCAAATCTGTACATGGTATTGTATATATACAAAAGAGAAAGAGCAAAAAAATATTCTTCCTAACTAACTTGTCACAACTGTCCTATACATGATTGGCTGTGTGATAACTAAATTTGTACTGTGTATAGAATAATTACAGAAAAGGAAACATTTATCTACAAATACGTGTGTGTTATTCTAGAAGCATCCAATGTAACATTGTGTTATATTCTTTTCTTTCTGGGCTGCATCTTCTTCTATTGGGTTGTATATTGGTAAATTATTGGGCGAAGTCCAAAACTTCTGGCCCGTTTTGCTTTTATAATTTCAGACAAGACCAAATCAATCCTCTCCTTAAACTTGTCAAAATATTTTTCTCTTTCATTCGATACAACCAAAGCTCTAATTTTTCTTTCATCTTCCTTGGTTCTTTGTCAATTAGAAACAGAAATATTTTTGTCAACAGATTGAAAAAAGTTCTTACAAAAAAAGAAAAATTTCGAAAAAGATGAAGAGCTAGTGTGTCCTAGCCGGCGGCCCGCTTAAGACTGAGTTAGGGTGACTATTTTAAGGCCCTTTTGAAAGGGGATCGTCCTAGCCACCAAATTTTATGGCCCATAAGGCTTGGCTGAGCTGGGCTGGGTTGGACCCATTTTGTCTGCTTACTCAAGGGACCTTTTTATGGACAATATGAAACATTGAGGACTAAATCGAGATAAATAAAAAACCAAAAGGGACCAAATTGAATGTAGGTCAGTCAATAAGGACCAAAAATAAAACCGACCAAAAACAGAAGCGGTGAAATCACATTTTGCATATCCCTATTTACTGCTTATTCTTCTTTGGCATACAAAACCTCCATTTTTCTTCTAGAACCTTCCCTTTCGATTCACTAGCCTAAAACATCCTCCTCCGACGTTGCCGGAAAATGAGTCGCTATGATAGCCGTCCGGCGGACCCTGGCTCTTACCGCGACCGTCGCAGGTAAAAACCCTAATTATGCTATCTCCGGCTATACATATAAACATATCATATACGCATTTCATACGTGATAATTCTTATAGACTGTAATTATGGTTAGGGTTTTAGCTGCTCTGGATGAACTGTATTTAGCTGTTTATTATCTCCGGCTATACGTACAAACGCTCATATATGACCATATGCGATACTTAGTTCTTATTGACTGTAATCATGGTTAGGGTTTAGCTGCTCTGGGTAAACTGTATTTAGTTGTGAATTATCTCCGGCTATACGTACAGATTTATATATGCATTTCATATGCGATAGTTCTTATTGACTTTAATTATGGTGGTTTTAGCTGCTTTGAATAAAACTGTATTTAGTTTTGTATTATCTCCCTATTAAATAATACTCTTATAGGCTTTTCATATATGATATTCTTATTGACTGTGATTATAGTTAGGTGTGATTCCAATTAACTGTAATTAATTGTGGATAATCGATCTAACACTACTTAAAAAGAAATACTGCGTGGAAATGACTATACTTGCAAAGGTGGGTCCAAGATTTGAAATTTATGGGTTTGCAATGACACTGAACCCACTGACCATTTGAGTTACTGAATCCGTAGCTTTTACTGTACATTCCCTGTCTTCTTGTATCCTCCCAAAGGAAAAGGGATCTCTGAGAATTGCTTCCTCATTCCTGAATCCTTCTCCACCTAGCTTCTCTTGGTTGGAGTTAGGTCATGGGAGAGACTAGACATACTCATCTATAAGTGGAGTTAGGTCATGGGAGAGACTAGACATACTCATCTATACTTTTCTTATACGGCAGTTCTTGATGACTTTAATTATGGTCAGGGTTTTAGCTGCTTTGAATATAAATCTTTTAAATTTTGGATTATTTTGCAGTGACTCGGGCTTCAGTGGGGGCTCGAGTTATAGATCATCGTCATCGAGCAGGAAAGATTACGAGGGTAGGGATTCGCCACGGAAGGTTGATTTGGATGGATTGACTCCATTCGAGAAGAATTTCTATGTTGAATCACCGTCCATCGCGGCAATGACTGAAAGTGAGGTGGAAGAATATAGACGACGCCGGGAGATCACTGTTGAGGGCCGTGACGTGCCTAAGCCTGTAAAGTCCTTTCATGACGTAGGATTTCCAGGTATGTTAAAGTAAATATCCCTTATAAAACCACTATCCAAACTCAAACAGAAAAATTAAGTGTGACATTGAGGCCATGGTTGACATTTTGAGCTTACTACTCAGCTCGTAATGTTGCCTACTGTTTTAAATACTTCCACAGCACTTTGTAATTGCTGAAACTAATATATTACCTTTAACAGTTGAAAAACAAAAACTTCAAGTGTTATACTCTGTATTTTAATCAAAAAAGCAGAAGAAAATACAGTAATGCTGTGAAAAAATTCACATTCATGTCACTTGAAAGATTAACACAATGTGGAATGGAGAGTGTGTAATCCGAAGCTGGTGAAATAAGACTGATTGTTATACATAAACCTTAAATTCTAAACCAACCAGCGTCCTTAATATCACTGTCCTCCACTCCCCAAAAACCGAAACATTATTGTGAGTATCTATTTTTTTAATGGGTAAATAATATGTTATATAAATATTTGCAGTAAGCCAGTGCAATAGGCCTAATTACAGGATGGGATCCTCTAATTAGAGTATATTGCGAGTATACTCTAATTTCTTCCAAGAGCTCAGTTTTGGTGCTACTTGGTACAATTTCCTGAATATTTCAGTGTGGGATCCTCTTGGTATTGTTTGGAACTGATGAGGTACTTGTCCAAAGGTCTGTTATGCAGAACACCTGAAGTATTGTAGCACCAGTGTACTGGCGATCGTTGTCTCTTATAACTTGTGCAGGCTTCAACTATAGATACTTGGAAATGCCCATGAATATGAACTAAATCAATATTATAGGAGTTGGAAGGATAGTGTTAATCAATATTATATGCATGTAAGTTTCAGTAATATGCGTGCAAAAGTTGCGAAGATTTATCTAAATGGACATTGTATATCATCAATATGTTTGATTTACGGAGTTATTGAGCTGTGCAGATCTAGTGAAAGGGGTATTCACTGACTTCTAACGTAGAATTCGTCAATTGATACTTTTTTCCCATTTGATTATTGTTTCCATAATATCTTAAAATTTTCAAAGGTCTCCTGTTCCATTTGACGGGTTTTGTACACATTGATATTTCCTATTATGCGTGTCACAAGCTTTTGGTTGAATGGCACTTCGTTTTTGTTCTTCTTTCCCCCCTTTTTTATGTTTCCTTGGTGCCACTACAGATTATGTCATCCAAGAAATTGAAAAGGCTGGCTTCACTGAACCTACACCTATTCAAGCTCAAGGCTGGCCTATGGCCTTGAAGGGCCGTGATCTCATTGGTATAGCAGAAACAGGGTCTGGGAAGACACTTGCTTATCTGTTGCCCGCAGTTGTGCACGTTAATGCCCAGCCATTTTTAGGTATAAGTGCAGAGCAGCTGATTCACTCATGAGTACATACATCTTCATACTTGTCGAGCAGTACTTTCTTCTTGTTGTATAGCGTGATTTTTGATGCAACTCTCCTTTCTCTATTTCTTTTTTTTTTTGTTCAAATCTTATTTTCAAGCTCCCGGAGATGGTCCTATTGTCTTAGTATTAGCTCCAACTCGTGAACTAGCTGTTCAGATTCAACAAGAAGCCACTAAATTTGGTGCATCATCACGGATTAAGAATACCTGCATTTATGGTGGGGTTCCAAAGGGGCCCCAAGTTCGTGATCTTCAGAAAGGTAGGTGGTGATATGCTCAGCGTGACTTTACTACTGTGTCGTGATGTTGATGGATCGGGTATATCCTAGAGCTTCTTCTTCTCTCAGTTCTTTTGTATTATTTGCATGTCATAATGGAGCTAATCAATATACTTTTATTTGATAGGTGTTGAAATTGTTATTGCCACACCTGGAAGGTTGATTGATATGCTAGAATCTAATAATACAAATTTGCGAAGGGTGACATATCTCGTGCTGGACGAGGCTGACCGCATGCTAGACATGGGTTTTGAACCTCAAATCCGCAAAATTGTTTCTCAGGTTTGCTTCTGTAATTACCTGTTGGATCCAAAATTGAGTTGCCCTTGTCTTAGTATTTTCAGTCTTCTATTTCTCTAAATTGCTAGTTGTTCTTGTTTCTCTTACTGGATTAAATTCTTGTTCCCAGCACAAATTATAAGTTCTCTTTGAATTTGATTTCTTAAGCTATTTAAGCAACAGTGTCCTCTATAAGGTTAGTGTCTGGTTTGTTAACCAAAAAGTTTGATTTGCGAACAAGTGATTACCAACAAGGTTCTATGATTTGGCCGGGATCTTCTGCAGTTAAATGTTACTCCCATTCTAGTGTTTATTCCATCATTTTCTTGTTCAAATCTGATGAAACAACTAGCTTTTGTCAGTGTAAAGAAGGTACTCTCTCAGAAGAGACAACATTGACTTCTTGATTAAAAAAATAGAGAACTTTGACTTTTTGCTCTTGTTACTACTTCCAACCTTTTAGTTCTGGAGTTTGATTGATAATTTCTCACATTCAGAAGGACTAAAAATACTGAAAGAAATTTCTTCTTGTATTTTTTCTATTTATCTGGACAATACAAAACATTCAGAGAAGAGAGATGTTATTCCTGTCAAGTTAATAAGTGTAACATGTATCCTCTTTCCTCCCACTTGGACATTGTTCATTCTTGGGATGTTGTTTCTATGGTTGAATGGTTCTGCAGATACGTCCAGATCGTCAAACGTTGTATTGGAGTGCCACATGGCCCAAGGAAGTTGAGCAGCTTGCAAGGCAGTTCCTTTTCAACTCATATAAAGTGAGTTTCTTTTCGAGGTTCTGATCCAGTTCCTCAGCCTGTACAAAATGAGGATATTGATCACTATGTTGTGGCCCAAAATTTTTTCTATTGTCATCAAGAGGAAAAGTGAATGCACTATTTTTCTTGAATTAATAGTTTGAATGTGATTTTTACACCCTTTTAACTATTTTCTCTGAAAATGCTCAGGTGGTTATTGGTTCAGCTGACCTGAAAGCTAACCATGCTATTTGCCAGCATGTGGAAATTGTCTCGGAGAGCCAGAAGTATAACAAGTATGGTTAACACCCTTTTCTTTTTTATTTCAAGTCTTGCATGCCTCAAAACCTTTTAACATACATTCTTCACATTTGATTAGATTCTCCCATCGAACTAAACTTGCTTTGTAAATTCAGATTAGTAAAGTTGCTGGAAGATATTATGGATGGTAGTCGGATTTTAATTTTCATGGATACCAAAAAGGGGTGTGACCAAGTAACTCGGCAGCTCCGGATGGATGGTTGGCCTGCACTTTCTATTCATGGTGATAAGAGTCAAGCAGAAAGAGATTGGGTCCTTTCAGAATTCAAAGCTGGAAAGTCTCCTATAATGACAGCTACAGATGTTGCTGCTCGAGGTCTAGGTATGCCTAGCACAAGGAAACTCTATTAGCCTCTATAAATATAACCATTTAGTGCTCATTGTTATACGTGTTTCTCTCTGTCTATGGCGTTATTACTGTCTATAATTGTGCAATCATATTTTCATAGATCGCCAATCTCTAATTTTTTGGCCATCTGATGCGAAGAAGATATTCAGGCTTTTCCTATGTAGCAGCATCTTGTGGATGACACGGACAAATTTGCAGTTCTAATATATGAACAGAAATAACTCCTGTTGGCACTTGGTATTGTCTGAATGCTCCATATATATTGTTTGCTAGTATACCCTTGCATACTTTGCTACAAAGAGCAAAGGCTAATATCGAAAAGATTCTCTGTGCTAGAACGGTATGGCTAGCATGATACATTGTTCTTGAGTACAGAAAAATGGATATCACTTTAATTAGGGAGTTGAGTGCACTCCAATCTCTGAAGGCCTTTTAACGTTGTCTTAGGGAGAAAGCAGTAAATTTTTACCATAACCAAGTTGGACTACTATTTTGAAACATTTTACAGACATAACATTTGAATTGGTACAGATGTGAAGGATGTAAAATTTGTAATCAACTATGATTTTCCTGGATCGCTGGAGGACTATGTTCATCGCATTGGTAGAACGGGAAGGGCTGGTGCATCAGGGACAGCATACACCTACTTTACCGCTGCGAATGCTAGGTTCGCGAAGGACCTTATTAACATTCTTGAGGAGGCTGGACAGAAGGTCAGTCCTGAACTGGCAAAAATGGGACGCGGTGCTCCTCCCCCTCCAGGTTAGTCTATTGGCTGTGTATGGAAATAAATTTGATTTTTTGTGGTTCATCATGGCAACGCATCAGTAGACGGGATATTTTGAGTCTCCTGTTGGGTAGGATTTCTGTATGTCTAGTATTTGGCTGAGGTGTCAAAAGACTAAATTCCCATGGACTCTGTTAACAAAATTCTGCTGCCTCTTCTTCTATGGAAGAGATGGATAAAATATTGAAGTCGGCCCAAAGTTGTATGTATATCAAATTCTCAATTCCTCTCTCTATCCCCCCCCCCCCCCCAGGAAAAAAACAAAAAGATGACGGCCTTATGATGTGTTTCCTGGTCAATTGACTTTCCAGTAGGATTTGTTTGCTGTTAATGACGTGATTGGCTATGAAAAGCACCATTCTGTGCTTTACTATCTATGCTTTCATCTTAATGATTTTCTTTTATGCCTAGGTCTTGGGGGTTTTCGAGACCGTGGAAGGGGTTATGGAGGCAATAGGCAATGGAGCTAAAATAGATTGGGTATCATCGAAGGCAAATCATGCAAATATTGCATTTCCTTTCAAAGCCAGTAATTTTGGCCAGCTGATGGAAAGCTACTCATCTTCTAGCAAAAACCAGGGCCATATTTATCTTGCATGTATAATATGTTTGAATTATGTCAGTAGAAGGTGAAAAATTTAACAATCGTTATTTGATATTGTTTCCTTTTCTTGTAACTGACAAATTTCTCTTAAATACATGAATGGTCGGTGCACGCATTGATTCATCTGTAGAATAGTCATGTGGCTAAGCGTTTTAGTAATCCTGTGCTAATGCCACAAGGGTATGTTGCAAGATCAGTCCATAGCTATTACGAGCAATTACGGAAGGTTAACTACCTTTTAAGGCTCTAATTACTGGTAATCATCTATGCTCCTAGAATCATTAACCAGATCCATAAGCATTAAGATTTTCCTATTGCATGTGTTATGCATCGTGTGGAAATCAGTATACTGTTTGTTCATCTATGAATGATTTGATGGATGAGTTCAGTGCAGGAATTTTACAGAAATCATAGTTGTGCTCATTGCCCATTTCTGTTGAGAAATCCATTAAAAACACCGGCTAACTCCATATACTTTTAAAATATTTATTGTACATTCTATACCCACTTTATAAAATATTATTTACTTCTTAAATCTTTAATATTATTATATGCCATTAAACACATTCCACCTTTTAAGGTACTAAACTATCTTTCACTCTAACTTAATAAATTCCTTAAAACACTCCATCATCCCATAGAATTGGATTATACATTTTCACCAAAAAAATTTTAACCCTAATAATTTCTCTTGTTCTAAATAAACAACCCTCTCTATTCTTTTCTATGACATGGGGATGCAGAAGGAAGAAGAATATGAAAATGGAGCATTTGTTATGTACAAGACAATACCTCTTTACCAATTATTTGTCAGATGAAGTGTTTCATCTTTTTTGTTTTTCTCTTCTATCTATGTAATCAAAAGAAAAACTAAAATAACGTAAAAATATTTTAATTTGGGATACAATATCTAAACTAAAAGAAATATTAGAATATATTAGTATTCAAACAAATATATACACCACTATATTCTAATGAAAAATGCAATATTCAAATCAAACATGGGTAACTATTCTAATTTGGAATGCAATATTTAAACTATATATACCACAATTTTCTAATAGAATACAATATTCAAGTCAAAAATACCACAATATTTTAATGTAATATATTATCCAAACCAAATTAAAAATAACAAATTGCAATAGATTAATGAAGAATATAGCATTCAAACATATTATAATATTCTAATAAAAAATACAATATTCAAAATCAGACATATCACAATATTCTAATTTGGAATACAGTATTCAAATCAAATATACAATATTCAAATCAAACATACTTTTATTTTTATTTATTGTGTTTATATTGTTTTACTTGGAATATTAACATACTTTAATAGTATATAATGACTAGTTTACTGTATAATTTTTTATTGTATACAAGAAAATAGGGACATAGACTCCCTAATAAAAAAATTGTTTAATTTGATGGATATGTCTTTATTCTTTAATTTATGTCCAAGCTTAAAATGGATGTAGTAAGATTTTAGATTTGCTTCCTATATATAATTTCCTTTAATTTAGGCGATAAATTTGTTAGGTAGTTATTGTCCTTGGACTAATTGAATATGTGAAGTAATTAATTAATGTATACTACATGTAATTTTATAACTGAGGTATATAGTGTTAAGTGTTCTTTAGAGGGGATATACGGTGTAAAGTTCCCAAATGTAAATTATCACATAGTTTGAATTTCACTAATGTCATAGTTCGGTTAACTTTTCATATTCTCTGATACTTTATTAGCAAAAAAGCGTTAATTTTAATATATTTTTATTGATCAAAATTGTTCCAAGGAATAGAATTGGGAGAGACATCACATCATGATTTGTTCAACTGTGCAAATTGAATAATAGGAAAATGTTGATTTATTTTTACCGTGCTACTGAAAATTGTTCAATTTTGTCATTTCTTACACTTTCACTTCATTAATGGTCTTACCGTTAGAATACTATTGTGTATTTTGTTCTTGTCGTGAATAGAGATTCAACGTAGCTTACAAGAGTCTTTTCTTCTTCTTCTTCTTTTTTTGACAATCTGTAGAGAGAGAACCATTCTCTCTCTCCACTCTATAACCAAATACCACCGACATGGCCACATCCCCATCCCTGGCGGAGGATCCATCCTCCAAAATACCACCGGATCCCCCTACAAGCGCCTCGCAATTTGAGATGGAGGAAGACACCCCTCAAAAAAATTCTTTCAAAGAGATCCTACTGGAAAGGAATTTGATGTCCACCACTTCATATGATCTAACCCACTCCCCTCCCATGTTCGAACTAAATGCGGGGAATATCCCCATCCCTTTGTCAAACGAAGATAAGAACAAACTATATCTTCCATGGAGATACTCTCTAATAGTAAAATTATTTGGGAAGAAAATCCCCCATCAGCTTCTGCGAGCAAAGCTCGCACATCTTTGGAAGCCTATTGAACCCTTAACGTTAATCGACCTAGGTTATGATTTCTTCATCGTCAAATTCAACCTAGAGGCTAGCATGAACAAAGTCCTCACTGCAGGACCTTGGTTTGTCACAGGCCACTTCCTATCTATACGAAATGGGAACCAAACTTTGTCCCAGCTGAATCCAAACTTGCTATTACAACAATTTGGATCAGACTCCCACAGCTCCCAACAGAGTTCTATGACAGAGCGATTCTCGAGCAAGTGGGTAATAGGGTAGGCAAACTGCTGAAGATAGATACATGTACCTCCTCCACCCTTAGAGGGAGATACGCTAGGATCTGTGTCCAAGTTCCATTAGACACTCCAGTCACCACCGCGGTCATCATCGGAACCCACAACCAACCCATCCTATATGAGGGAGGAAGGGATTCTCTGTAAAGGGTGTGGGAGAATTGGCCACACACTACGCCACTGTCCATTCATGCCCAAAATCAACGAAGCCAATAGCCCAACTAATCCAAATCCTACACCGGCAACTACAGGCACCGAAGACTCTCTGTGGCAAACGGTTCCATTCAGGCAAAACAAAAAAGGAACCCACAGAGGAAACCACTTGCCAAAGCCAGTCAGAGCATCACCGGAGCATCCCACGATCCAGGTAAGGCGGTACAGTGAAGCTACAGGTACGTTTCTCGACCTTGAGGCCACCACTAGTGGCGGTGGCAACCCTAAAACTAACGAACATCTGAATATAGGGAAAAATTGGGGCCCTATGGGTTAGGCCACAGAGATCCAGCAAGAATCTATGTCCTTTAGGCCCAACTCCGATAAAGGCCCATCATCACAATGAGGCCTTATCAAAATAAGCGAAGCCCCACATGCAAAGCGGACTGGGCTGGAAAGGCATCTTCACAAGGCGGTCTTAAACTCAAAAGATGCTACTTTAGGGAATATCTCTATTCCCAAAAATCCAAGTCCAATATACGAATATGGGATCCCAAATGACAATATCCCTCCCAAATCGGGTACTCTGACACATTTAAAGAGTATCTCTTCTTTGGAAAAGGATCCAGTATCAGTACAATCCCATCCTAATTTGGCCTACTCACTCACGAAAGGTCACTCTAACGCGCCGGCACCTGCTCAACGCACTACACACCTTCTTCTCTCCCCCGACGTTGCCTCTTCTAGTGAAGGTAATCAATTACCTGTTACAAACCCAAGAACCAATACTAGCCTTGAGGTGACACCCCCTGTCAATCCCTCATGATTATTTGTAGAAGGCAAATCGTCTCACACGAAACCCAAAGAGGAGATGGACTATAATGCGTCTCCCCCCTCCACTACTTCATTCACCCTTAGTCACACCACAAGCCCAATCACTCTATTCTTTCTGATGGAAAAAAATAACAACCCTCTTTTCCAAACACATACCACAACACCATTAACCATCTCCACCACCCCAATGCCTCCAAAGCTCATGCCGGAGTCATGGTTGGCGATGACGCTCCAAGGACACACCCAGAACCTCCAAATGATGGTTGGGTCGGTCCCAATGGAGATAACCATCCAAAATCCCAGGTACTTAGCTTGACTAGCCACACAACTTCTCCACCAGGGTTTGGCAAACTCTGGACACCAGTTATGGATGTCCACTCTACTCCAAGCCCGGTACATAAGGCAGCAACAACCCTTCTCCATGGAGGAACTCAACACACTCATGGGCTAGCTTTGCCACACAATGCTCTTCTTCCCACTCATGAATCTGGAGGCTCCACTCCCATCTTTATCATTCCAACTCTGGCCACCAATACTCCAAGTCCCTCAGCCACCACCATCACAACCACTCTCTCCCATCGATCTTCTGAGCAAGGGCACCACCATGGCATTGGACTATCTCCAAGAGTCCAATGTGGACCTGGAGAACATGCTAGAAAAATTAGGGATGCCAAAGACAAAGGCCTTCCTCATGCAGGAACCCCTGGAGATGGAGTTTAAAGAGAAGTCAGGAGAAATGCTTATTGCTCTGTGCCCTAAAAAACTCCTAAGCTGCAAACTCGATCTCCGGGTACCCTTATTTCAAAACTCAAAAAATTCAGTAGTGTCTCTGGTTAGGGCTGGGCATAATTTGGTAAATACCGAATTACCGTACCGAAACCAAAAATTTTGGTTTTTGGTATATGGTATTTTGGTATTTGGTTTAAATTTTTTAAAAACTTGGTATTGGGTATGGTATTTGGTATTTTAAAATAAAATACCGAAATACCGATACCGTACCGAAATATATATTATATTACACAAAACACATATTATCAATTATAACATAAGTATAAAAAATCTAAAATTTTACTTTATTCTCAAAGTTCATCAATTAACTCTAAACAAGTAACAAGATATTTCTAATGATCAAATATTCTTTTATGTACAATTTCCTCTATTTGGGTCGATATTTGATAGTTTTGGACAAATTTTTTGTCAACAAACATTTTCAGTTTTATATTTTTGAGTACTTTAATTAAGAATATTAGAGTGTATGGCTCTATGCACTAGTTAGTATTCAAACCGAATAAACCGAACCGAATAAATCGAAACCGAAAGGAGAAAAACCGAACCATACCGAATTTAATTAGGTATGTTATTGGTATAGGATTTTAAGAAATCGAATACCGAAAATACCGAACCGAAATATCTAAATACCGTACCGTACCGAC